TAGAAGAGAGTCTCAGTCATGAAGAAACTCCTTCAGGGGATGTCCCAATTAAAAAAAACCCAATGAATCAGTGTTTATATACTAAGATAAGGTGCAATTCCAAAAGCATCAAGATATTTTTAGATCATCCATCATTTCCTTAAGTAATTGTACTTTTTCAGAGCTGTTTCTGAACTATTGCTTCCAGATTTCAAAACTGATTTAAGTTAAGGAAGGGGCAACTTTATAATTACTTTGATGGGAATACCATTACAATTGGGGGTTTTTTTTTGTTATTTTAGAAGTGGTCTGAGAGAATGTATTTGGGAACAGATATTTTCCACACTTTTGAATCTGGATGAAAAATGTTTGCAAAGTCATTTGTCTGTCAGATACACACTTGATTTATCTTTAATGCTTCAGTTATCTTGAGAAATGCTCCTAGATTTCAGAGATGTAAGGTTTTGATGGATGAGCCACGGCAGATTTCACTGAAGCAGTTCAAGACGGCACTGCCAACATGTAACTGCCCCACACACTTTCTACCGAAGGCAGCCAGCAGAAACGAACAGGCATTTTTGCTTCAGCTCTTCCAGCCTCACCTGATACCTTAGCTCTAGATACTTCTACTGCTAACCTAAAGCATTACACTGGGTTTGGCACAGAAGGGATGGAGACCCGTCTTGTCTACCATTACAACAAACAAAACTGACTGACCTCCTGCACTGTTGGCTGTATTTCAAAGTTGGTTTCATCAGCGTTAATGAGGAACCACTCAACTTTGACATCTGCTCCTTTGTCTTTCACGTAGAGCTGAAGCTGTGGATAGGAAAGCAGTTATTGGAGAGTGTTCTGGTGTCCTGTAAAGAAATTGTAGGTCAAGCTCCGTACTAATGCTCACCAAAGGAGGAATGATACCAGTTTCTGAGTAAGGAAATGCAAAGTAACAGTCTAAGAAGGCAGAAGTTACTTAAGCTTTGAGAGGGCATGCCAGTCAAAAAAGGGTATTGTTGTTCTATAGATCTGGGTAGTTTACCCAACATGTTATGTATCCAGTCTCCTAAAGAGGCAGCTTAATTTATGAATTTATTACTTGCCTCCGAGGGAAACTGTAATATTATGAAACATTTTACCAGAGTTAACATGCACTTGTACACATTTTGCAATGAACAGGAGGTTCAGCTCAGCTGCGGAATGAGATGTAACAAAAGGAAGAAGAGAGAGAATAACACTTAACACTTTACCTGCAAGTGAAGCGGAGACAGTTTCACACTGTACGACTGACTTTCTGCAGCCACAGGCGAAGTATGTGAGACAGTGACAACAAATTTAACAGAATCTCCCACAACATTGCAAGAAACCACCTAAAGAAACAAAAGGGATGGGGGGAGACACAGGAAGGGAAGAATACTTTAGTCTTCGGAAGGTTTGGTGAAGGCAAGAAAGGAACTAAGAAAAGGAAGGACTCTAAGCTACCAGAATTATGCTAAATTCTGTAGGTGGGAGATCTCTAAGCAATTTCATTAATGACCCTACCTCCTTCTGCACATTTACTTCTAAAACCTTAGTTCCGGTGTTTGCTTCTGGACACAGAATTTAATACTCGGCAATTCTGGTATTTTCAAAAATTTCTTTTGTTTTGTTATCCAATAAAAAAGTTAACTCCTCACCTGACAAAGACTCCTTTGTGTTTGACATATCTGTACACTAAAAGCTCAAAGACCAAAATTTTGCAGAAGGGAGACAAAGAAGTTTGTTCTTCTTCCTCTTCTGCTCCAAACAAAGTAGCCTACCACAGGACAACAATATTTGGTTTAGTGGTATCCTACAAATGTGAAACTTTGGTATAACCCTGCTGCTGCAGAAGAGGATTTTGACTGAGTAATTCCAGTTCCCACTGCAGTGGGAAGGGGCAGATGCCTTTAAAAGTTTATTAAAGTCTTTGACCAAAATCAGAAAGGCCCTGAAATTTGGTGACAACGCTAAATGTCTGGGAAAAATTTGTATGCCACTTCAATGCAATAAACTTTGTTGAGTAACTCCCTCACTTTTACAAGCAGTAATTTAACTTATCACACTGAGTTTACAAACACTAAATTTTTTTTTCCTCCCTTTCCTGTGCAAACTGACGGAGGTACCGGAGCTGCCGTGCAACATTCCTGGAGTGTGTAGAAAGCACCTGGTGGCACAGGAAAACTCCAGGTACAGAAGTCAGAAATCACTCATTATGCCCAGGAGAGAAGTTCACTTTGCAAACAGCTCTGCTGGCTGAAGACAGCTGCTTGTCACTGTCCCTCTGTGATTACTGTCCCCACAGCTCCACTGTTGGAAAAGATAGCAGAGCCCTCCTTAGATTGACTCACGCGAAGTTAACCAGATTAATGCAGTGCACAAATAATTTGCTGCAAGATTTGTTTGAAGGAAACTCTGCATGTATGCTATTAAATAATGTTTGTGCACTTATTGCTTCACTTATGGGCACTGGAATTGAAGCTGAAAGCTTTAAAATTAATCATGTACCTTCTGGAAGATCCTTATCAGTCTCTCTTTAAATATATTTAATCTCCCTGGGCTCTATAGCATACATTTTAAGAAGCACCAGAACATTACCAAAGGCTTCAGAGCACATCCATTAAGGCAGAGACCTTATTACACAGGAGCGGAGGGAGGGGTGGACATGACAAATAAAAATCCCAAGCACACCGATAAGCAACAAGATTTGCCTTTTCAGGTTTGCCTTTGCAAGTTATAGTTTAGAAGTGGACAAATCAGTTTCCCTCACCTCTCCCCTTCCCCAAAGTCTAAATTACCTCAGAAGTGATTTCTGATTCTTAATCCCATATAATCAACACAAACATCCACTATTACAATATAACAAAAAGGATTTTTAAGCATTTTTAATAGCTAACAAGACTGAAGAGCCTAACTGCTTAGTTTCCTTGTAGTCGAGTTCAAACACAGAATTGCTCCTTTTATTCACAGGAATGGATTGGAATGGTAGCTCTTCCAAGACTTCAAAAATGAATAGAGTCTTTCCTCTTTTTTGAGGGCAAGGGAGGGAAAAGGACAGGGCTGATGCAAAAGCCGCTGACACTTGCATGCCCTGAATGCAGTGGTTTATTATCCATGCACATTTCATCCACACATACATAGGAAGTTCAGTGCATTCAGAACAAGTTGGACTTGCTGCACAGGTGATGCAGAGCCATTTGTCTGGAATTTCTGGATGTCTAAGAGCCAAGGTGGCCAGGCACACAGCTGATTACTGCTTAAAAAACCAAGTGTGTCAGGAGAGTTGGTAGACGAGTTCATGTGCCACTTTTTTCTTAATTGTGTTTACTTCTAAGTAAAGGATGGAAACAGACACTGCAGGTGGTGGAACTTTCACTCTTCTTTCTACACCTTGTCAAGAAATGCTAAATCAATTTTTTAAATATTTGTACTTTTCATTTACAAATTAAGGTACTTTTAGCCTCTTTGATTAATTTATTTTCTGCCAAAGACATCTACCAAGTCCTACTCCCCTTCTCCCCTCACTTTTATTAAAACTACTGTGGTCTTCAGGTACAGACGTCTGTTAAGTTTTAGTCCCATCAGAAAAAGGAGTGGTTCCACGTTTGTTAATGGAAAATAATATGTCTTTTATCAGGTGAATCCCTTTGTTCTGGGAGCAGGATGGATTATCCGGTTAAAATACTGAGAGAAGCAGAATTCCGGGCTAGAATTTGAAGAGAAAGCAATTCTGTTTTCACCTAAGATGCTGCCACGAGTGGTGAGAAGTTGATTAAAGAGACCGCAACTGCTGCTTCCCTTTTTAAGTGACATTCCTTTAGAAGTGAAGTAGATTATTTTGATAGACCAGAGCAGAAATATGTAGGCCATTTTCCCCAGAACGGTCACATGAAGAAAAATACTGAAGCTTCCTGTGCTATGCTCCTCTTCCTCCACGCCCCCATCCAACCTGCTTCCTCAAATCCATTTTCTCTGCACAGATGAGTAAAAGGAGGGTCAGGCAAAGCACCCCTTTCTGGTTGACAGGGGAGAGAAAGAGGAAGGATAGATGTTCACAAGAAAACTGTAGCACCTGGACTGATGGGAAGGGGAGTTGCTCTTCAACTTCATTTATCTTCCTCATCTCTCTCTCCTACCCCTCTTTACCAAGGACATCCCCAGTCATCAATACTTTGTGTTTCAGAGTCTAGAAAACCCGTCATTTTTACAACAAACTGCTTTTTAAAAACTAAGCCCTTGCAGCACTGCACAGCAGCTGTGGCTGGCTAATGCTGGACTCCCAGAGGGGGTCACACCTCAGCTCTCTTTTGTTATCTTACATCTAGACAAGCAAGAGCTCCTAAATTAGCAGAAATAGAGTGAGGTGAAATAGCAGCACAAAGACACCAGGACTCTTCTACCAGCAGGACCAAGGTATTTTCTCCCTCCAGTGCCTCCGTAGCTCTAACCTCCCTTGGTGCAAACACTCCGTCACCAGCCAAGGTCTCTCCGTGTACCGTGGGGATCTCCCGTGGAAGGGGTTCCCAGCCCTTCCTCAAGTGCCTTCACCAGCAAGACTCCTCCTCAGCCCTCTTCCACCCCTCCCCATACTCAGCTGACTCCTGACACTTGATCACCCTCATGCCAAGGTTATTCCTGCTATCTGCTCAACACCATCCAGCCTTCCCCCTCACCTGCCTCCATCCCTGACCGCGCTAGCCCACAAAGTGGGTGAGCTGCCGTGGCAAAATTCCACAACCTGGCTGGGCTGCGTTCCCCTTCTGCCCAACACTGGCACCCAGCTCCAATGAGCTGCAGATGCTCTAACACGCCTTCCTTATACGTATCTAAAATTGTTAGTACAATTACCCTAAAAAAAAAAAAGTCTCTTTAAGATAAACAACTGCAGAAATAAAGGAGACTGAAAAAGCACTATGGTTGGAGTAAGACAAATATTTTTCTCGGAAACTCAAGTGTCCAAACTTGTGCACCCACAGCTATTGAAGCCCTTTCCCTGCTTTGCCCTCCCCCTCTATATCTTGACTTTTTCCCTTTGCAGTTCCTCTGGACAGAGCCGCAAAACTCCCGTTTCTTTCCTTCCTGAAGCAGCAGCAGAAGCTGCTTCATCTCAAGGAGCACTGGAGTGCCTCTGCTCCTCCCATGCAGCGTCCTCCTGCCTCAAGAGATTTCCATTTTGGCACTGGCACCCCACTGATCCCTGTGTTACACACAGACCCTTTATTACTCCTCCTTCCTGTCAACACGCCGGCGGCAGGTTCCCTCCCGTGGCCAAGGGAGGGTGAAGGGCCGTGACTTCAGGGGGGAGCTCTGGTAGCTCCCAGGGGAAGGTCTTCACCCTCCCCAGGCGCCAGCCACATCACCTGCACATGTGAAACCCTCACCATTACAGGCCTTGATCACTCTTTTTCATGGAAATAAATCAGTTTTACTGCATTTGGTATTTATTTACAGAAAGAGCAGGTCATTCAGTAGTATGTAAGTAACACCTTTAACACCTTCACAAGAAAATGAGTATACACTGCCAGGCAGCCACACTGCGATAGCTGCCTTGATCTCACCCACAGGGACCAGTGCGCTACTAGACTTAGGACCCCCCCACCCTATTTCTGATATTTGTTTTGGAGTACTACTCTGACAAGAAGGCTCTTTTTTTTTTGGCACAGAAAACTTATCTTGTCAATGGCCAAACAGGCGGTTTGTGTACTCAGCTTAAAACCTCACCATAGGAAAATTCTCCAGTCAGAAACTTCTGCCTTTTAACAGTCATAACACTCAGCTGTTCAGAAGAAGAATTACCGCATCTTCCTCGGTCACCAGAGCCTATGCATTAACTTCTGGAGGGCGATTCTGCAGTTTCTTCAGCATTCCTTCTTTACCCAAGCAGTTTACCGAGTGACACAGACAAACTGAAGGAGAGAAGGCAAAGGCAACATCTAACCAAGCACAGCTAGGGGCAGATTTTTAGAAGGTGGTATCAAAGAGAGTTTGGCTGCAACTACAGTGAGACAACCCCTGACCAGTTTTCCAAAAGGATGGTAAACACCAGGGTGAAGGCAGGGTGAGTGATGGCATCAGTGCACGAGAGTTACCAGGTGTGCAACAGAAACAAAGCAGCAACTGATAAAACAAGTGAATTTATTAATTCCTTTGAGACCGACAGACACACAAGTTCAAAAAAAGTGGAAAACAGGGGAGGGCAGAACAAAACAAACAAGCGGGGAGTACAAGGAGACAAGGCAGGAAGAATTTTCAATATGCCTACCAAGTAAAGTGAGTATCAAACAGTGCAAGGACAGGAAGCAGTACTGACATTTAAGAAGGGACAAAATAAATAAGTACCAGAAATAGACTT